TGGGCAGACCGTGTGGCGAAATTACGTTCGTGATGTCGCAGCGCCATGTGGATTTGCACGGCCTTGGTGAGAAGTGCGTTTGCGTGGCGCCGTGCCACTGGGGAGCGCGAAACATGCTGGTGTAAACGCGGCGTGTCGCTGGTGAGCGGGATGAGTGGTGGTATCGTGTGATATGTTTGCTTCTAGTGGGCGGCGGACCGCGTGGCGAAATTACGTCCGTGATGTCGGAGTGCCACGCGGATTTGCGCGGCCTTGGTGGGAAGTGCGTTTGCGATGCGCCGCGCCACTGCGGAGCGCGAAACGCGCTGGCGTAAACGCGGCGCGTCGGTGGTGAGCGACAAGAGCGTCCCACAAGAATGTCCCAGAAGAGTGTCCCACAAGAGTGTCCCGTAAGAGTGTCCCACAACAAGAGTGTCCCCTAAGAGTGTCCCACAAGAGTTTCCTACAAGAGTGTCCCGTAAGAGTCACCCACAAGAGTGTCCCACAAGAGTGTCTGTAAGAGTGACCCACAAGAGTGTCCTACAAGAGTGTCCCACAAGAGTGCCTCATGCTCCCAGTAGGTCAGCAGACGGACACGTTCCGCAAGAACTTGTTGGGGAGTGGAGGTGACCGCATGAATGGAGCGCCGCACCAGCTGATCAGGTAGAGTAGAGAGCTCAGAAAATGGATGCTGAACTTGCGGAACCCATTCGATGGCTTGACCCGGCTCCAACTCGTGAATGATCAATGGCTTCAAGGCACCCCGCTTCATCTGATAGCCAGCGTGTTGCGCTAAGGCGCCAAATGCGACAGATCCATGAGTCGATGTATAGCTGTCGCCGTCATTGAACACATAGCCGGGTAAACTTGAGCCTTTTTGTCCGGAACACCCAAGTCTCGAGCTTCGTGTTCCAGACCTTGCCCTTGAGGACTTCATGCTCATGTTTACGAGGACAGCTCAGTCGCGCAGAGGCGAACGCTTCTGTGGTGACCAACAATCTTGTAGGTTTCATGGAGGGAGCGCCCATGGCACACTGCTCAAAATCAATTTCTAAGGCTCGGCAAGTGCCCACGGGGGAGTTTCAAAGCAAACTCCACCTGGGGTTCTCGATCGAGAAGTCCCCCCTGCAAATACACCAGCGAGCAAACCTCCGTAGACCGCAGCAAGAAAAGGTTCCCGAGCAACACTAGAGCCTCATATTGTCGGCCGACAATGCTGGAAGCCTCATGGAAAATTCAGCAGAGCGCAGCGGAGGAGGTCCTCCGTCTAACTTGCGAGCAGCAGGAAGAAAGTGCTACATGGGGAACGAAAAAGACTCCACCCGGTTGAACCATTTGCATGAGCCAATCCCAAAATTCAGCATCGAGCACATGTGTGGGGAGCGGCACAAGGTCAGACTTGGCGACGTCGATCGGCGGCAAACAAAGGATCCCCAAAGCCCGTACGGCCTGCGTCAGGCCGGCTTCCCCTTGGGAAGACCTTCAGGAAGAACGGGCCATGTTGACAGACCTCACAAGGATCCCGTGGCACCTCGCCCCATCACGTCCAGACCACGGAGGCCCCGGTCCGGTTCAGTGGCTGCCGTGCCAGGAGTGCTCTTTGCCGCACTCCACGCACAGGCGCTTGTTCTTGCACTGGTCCCCAAAGCGGCAGCCCAAGGAACAATTGAAGAAGGGACACCTTCTCGGACCGGAGTATTTGAAGGCCGTGATCTTAGCCCACTCCTTGGCTGGAACTCGCTCATCACGGCTGGATCCTTTAGCTACGCTGGAGCTGCCGCCTTGCGCCGATTTGGCTTGTTTGAGCAAGGCCTTGGCGCGCTCTCTGCGAGCCTTGTTCTTCTTGGCCTTGGCCGTTTTGGCTGGTGTAGCCGGTGAGGACGATCGCTGCCTCTTGGTAGGAGGTGTCCGGGGCGCCTCTGTGTGGTGAGCACCGGTCCAACTCCGCTCGAGCGAGCGTCATTCCACAACTGTTTGTGGTGAGTGAGCACTTCGATGAGAGCGGCTGAGTAGGTTGTGAACTTCTTCCTCTGATCCACAAATCACCAGCTTCTGGCCATCGTAACCCGTGCTTGGAGATCTCACCTGGGCTTTGTCCACATGGGTGTTGATCCCAGCCTGTGCGTTGACCCGAATTTCATCGAGGAGCCAACCCTGGTAGGGCTCTGTAGCCGTTGATCGCGACTATCGATCACCAACACTAAATTCTCTCCTTCACCTGAACCGACCTGGCGCAGGTACACGGGGAGCTGGAAGTTCAAAGGACTTCGGAGTGGCGGAGCTTGCCCCCATCGAACCTTGTTGGTTCCCTTCCGCTGAGCCCTCTCCTGCTGACGCCGGAGCCGCCTGCCAGCAGAAGTCTGATTGACTCCTTCCAGTAGGCTACGAGCTGCCTGTTGCAGGCTGCTGGAGGGAACGGACCCTCGTCCAAGATGTGTTCGACTCCGTGGTGGATCCCACCATGCTTGCACTATCATCTGGTGACACCACCTCTGCTGCCCTGTGAGCTGCCAAGGCAACTTGGCGCTGAAGAGCAAGAGGAGTTGGTGGTGGTGCCTTCGGGGGTGCAGCTGGTGGAGCTTTCTTTGGAACAGAGGGCGGTGCATTAACTGTCGTCCAGGCTGGTGGCACTGACATGGCACACGGGATCCCAGGCCCACCTAAAGAAAAACCTTCAGACACCGCAAAAAATTAGTGATCACGGGTGCCTGTTGTCTTGAGGCCAAAATGGCAACCCGATCGAGATTCGATTGAACAACCCCAGTGGATCAAGTCTAGATAAGTTACACATCTGTTCCAGACCTACCTTACCTTACCGATAACAGCTGCACTTATGAAGTTACCAAGTTAGACTACGTGCCAAGTTGCATGAATTTCACAAGGATAATACATTTCTGCCACTAAGGCAAATCCTGAGAGTCTGACCAATGGTTTGCCTGCAAATCTGCTTTTGAACTCATCGTCTGACACTCTGGGCCAAAGACCTGAGAAAGGAGCATGAAACCTTTTGCAGATATATGTTTAAACATATTTGTTGGTGTTGTTTTTTTTGTTTTTGCCCGCTCTCTCTCTCTCTCTCCCCCCTCTCTCCCTACTTAATTAAGTAAGGAATTGAGGTGCTACAGGACGCAGGATAGCTCGCGCTAATGATTTGGTTCCTAGATTTTTAGCGAAACTCAAGGTTGGAGGCCAGGAAGCCATGTAATGTAGTAAGCTAGCTGACATACACAAGGGCACAAGAGAGCTCCGGTTTAGATTTGCAAGGAATTTTAGCTTCGAAACAATCCTACCAAGCTCCTGAGGGTGGTGCCATGATTGAAAAGAGTTATGAACTTGTCCAATTTGCGGCGTTGATACAGAGTGATGTCCTTGGGCAAATCAAAATGCCATGTTGAGACCGATACCTTTGCTGTAACTTCCACCAAGGAAGAGGCTGGGATTTGCATAATGTCCCTTGATGACATAGATATGAAATCTCTCCAATGCCTCGGCCACTCCATTTCACTAGAATAAGCACTCCGCACTCGACTCTCTCCTCTCTCTCTCTCTATCTATCTATCTATCTATCTACCTATCTCTCTCTCTCTCTCGTTCTCCTTCTCCTTCTTCGATGAACACGGAAAAAGAAAAGCTTACAGTATCTCTGAGTCCGATTCTCAAAAAGGTTTGCAACATCTTCCGCGCCGTCTCCGAACTGTATGCGCTCCAGAAAATCGAGGATTGTCCACCCTTCCACTTTGAAATGAGAGGGGCAGTTCTGCACTGTTTGAGAAATGAATTCCAACTTACACGGATGGAGAATCGACCACATCTCGCCTTCTGGGGGAGGAAGAGCGTATTCTCGGCGAACCTGGACGACTGCAAAGCCCTGCTCAAGCTTCAAATGCCAATCAGTAGCCTCTCTCAGCTCTGCTTCAGAAAGGCTTTCCTTCTTGTCTTTCAGCCTTACATGCAGGAGACTCTTTCTGCATGTCAAGCGGCTGTAAAGCATCGTGAACACTAAGTATCGGACGCTTTGCGAAAAGCCTGATGCAGCTGGTACAAAACTCTTGCTTTGTCTGAAGCATCGATGCCTTGAAATCAAAGAAACGAGGGTGTTGACCTATGTGCCCTGGCACTTCCTCGTCACCTGACATAGCATTCTCATCATTGTGCAAATTTGCAATTTGTACTCCGACATAGCAAATAAGCTCGGAATGCTGAAGAAACGCCGCCCAGCCAGAACCCATCCTTGGAACTCTCAGTTTCGACGCTGAACTGGACTTGCAACAACAATCGCGTTGACAATATATATCCACTCAGGCAACCACCTCTTGGTGAAGGGCATGATCTGAGAACAGAACGGCACCTCCATAAAGGTTTACTCTTCTGGTGAACAAGCGACGCGTGACACCGTCTGGGAATTAGACTTAAGCTGCACAGGAATTACCCCCAGCCTCTGAAGCATGCGAGGTGCACTGTGCATAGCAGTATGGTGAGCTTTTTTGACAAAAGAAAATATGTTAGGAGACTCCAACATGTATAATGTTTTACACTAATCGAGTTGAAAAGAAATTCCAAGCCTGCAAATAGTTGCTGCAGAGTTCACTTTTAAGTACAACCAAGAATCATGATACTCACTATTCAATGACATCCTACACGAGGAATGGTCAACCTTCCTCCCGTTCAGTCTTGTCTTGACTTCCTACGTATGTCTTGTCGTGAAAGCCGATGTAGCATGGTCTCTTTTCCAATCGTCTGGTCTGCAAACTAGTTTGTCTCTGCTTTCTGCATTTGCAGAATGCTGAAACACTGGACATGAAATGCCAAATCGGCCCAAGAGTTAGTAGAAGGGAGAGTTCGGTTTCTATTGGGAAGCTCCCTTAAAGGCCAGTCAAAGTCAACCCTTCGTGTCAGTCACAGGCAGCTCTTCGTGCACTTCGTGCAGGGCTTAGGAGTGCAGCCTTCAATCATATGACTGTTGACCAAGCAATGTGCTTGTTGAACATGTATTTAGTCTGCTGGAGCAAACCAGTGACATACATTCACAGAAACAAACGGCTGGAACCTGTGCGGATGCCGCTTCAACGAGTGTTGCAGGAGCTCCTGAAATTACATGGCTTCCAGGTCACCGGGAACACTCTAGAGTCTAGCAAAATAGCAAAAAACGGAACCACTGCGGTACTTCACTAAGTACGAATCCTACGAAGTGAAATGCAACCAGTGGCAAACCCTGGCAGGCCTTCCAGCCGGCGAAGCGGAATCGGAGGAACTGGTAAGGGTGGTGGAAGAGGTGGCCGTCGTAAAGACAGCCGTTCTTGCGAGGAATTTGCACTTGGCAATTCAAACGTATCTAATGTGCTGTTGCTGCGATCTGCACATTCTGAAGCCTTTTGAACTTCAGTTTCTGCATTTGCCTGGAGTTCTGGAACTTTAAGAGGCTCAACACACAAACCACATTGGAAATTGAAGGCCTCAACAGGGCTTGGCGCTGCGCGTGAAGATGCACAGCCGGAAGATGGAGATGCACCCGACTCACGCGGAGTGGACTCCACCTGGATGACAATTCTGGGTGATCAAACGAGCGTTCTATCACCAACAGAGAATGTCTAGATAAACAACCTGACCTGTCCCTTTTAAACGATGTCTTCTTCCTTGTGGTTTTACAGTGCCTTGACTAACTGCAACATGTGTAGTACACATTCGTGTGAACTGCATGCATTTGTGCTGGGTGGAACTGGCAAACATAACAGCATGGCACAGCTTACAAATATCAATTTCTATGCACAAACACAAATGCTGCAACACAAAACTGTTTTGTCTTTGTGGGTGTGAAAACCTGAGATGAGAGACATGTGAAGGGTTGTCCATCTGCAGGTTTATCGTTTGACTTTCTACCTTATCGTTTTACGTGGATGGGGTATCTTTCTGGCAAAATGGACATGCGAAAATGACATTGGGTGGAGGGTCTTATGCTCTCTTGAACTGCTGCCCAGTACATTGAATCTCCAATGAAGCTCCACTTCGACCTGATCTATTACCATGTTCAATTCTTCAAACAGAATGGCATCGAGGAGATGATGTCTCTTATCACAACCACCAGCCGGGCTTGATGAAACTGTTGTCGCAGGTCGACAGAGGTTATTAGAAGAAAGTAAAAAAATACATGGGGCGCACTGAAGAACAACTGTTGTTCATGTTGCCTCGGGCAGATCTCAAAGGACCCAATGCCACATACTAAATCATAATGCCACTCTTGGGCCGATCTTGCAGGTCCGAAATTGGGATGTTCACGTATCCAACAGAAGTCTAATCTTGCTCGTATGCCCTGTTTGTAGAGGTGTAGATTGTGTGCGTGTGTGTCTTGCTGGGTTAGGCTGACTCAGAAATACTATGTTGCAAACGCTGGAGCAACTATTCAACAGCATCGCCTGCATTGGTGCAGGTGGTTACTCTGACCGATCTGGATAAGCTGCTTCGATAAAAGTGACATAGTAATGTGTCTGTTTATTTCACCCTGCAACAAGCTCACATGCACTTATCTTAGGACTGCTGAAGTTCATCTCCAACAGATTCCTCCGTCAGACAAACTTCGCAAAATCACTTGGATTGGACCACTCATGCTGTGATTATGCTTGGGGAAAGACAATTACCGCGTGCGAGAGTGATGGAAAGAGGTGTTTGATGACAGTGGAATTCCTACGACACCTGGTTGCCTCATTCAAAAGAGTGAAGCAAGCTGGCTTGCCTCTTGTTGGTCAATGGTGGTGTCAATCTCTCACAATCCCTTGGCAATAGCCAGGATTTCAGCTTCAGGAGGGTTAATCAGATCCACTGCATGATGGCCATCTGGTTCAGCTGCTGACCATGCACTGTTTCTCTGCCGAGAATGGACTTTCTAATCTGACCTGGATATTGTGAGGATGCTTTTCTTAATTATTTCTTGAAGTAGATCGTTGAGGCTGATTTACTACATATTTCTCTCAGAACAAAGTCCAACAATTGGAGTATTCAAAGAGTAATTTAGGGAACGATTTAGTTTCATTTCCACCATTCTATTCGGTCCTGTGCGCCTTTGCTGCTTCATGATCTGCCCTAGGCCCTAGGCCCTAGGCCCCAGTATGTGTTGACTGCTCTAGGCGGAATCAATCATATTCTGTTTGCTAGTGTATTGATCCAATCTCACTCGCAACTAGCCGGGATTGAAGTCAGTAGCTGGCATCCACAACGCATTCGACAAGCCCACAAAAAAAGCACAGGGAACACAAACAACACACATCCAAGCACCCCACTTATACAACAAAGGACGCAAACTGAATCTTGCAACTGATACTTAAGTTGTGCCCGACCGTGTTCCCTCAGCCTCGCAGACTTCTGCTCGTCCAGGCCTTGGCCTCCTCTTTTCGCGAGGAGCTGATGGCCTACCAGGCTGATGCAAAAGTCTTTTACCTCATGCGTGTGAGTCTGAAAAGTAAGCGGTAAAAGTTGAAAGCCTATATAAAACTGTACTTTGTACCAGCCAGGCTGATTCTGACCTGCGAACCTCGTCGAGATACTCACATCCAAGCAGAACTGGTCCCAGCAAAAGATCTATGCGGGCCTCCGTGGCAAAGGCATTGAAGGTGACCGTACCATTCCAGTTCCTTTGTGATCCGAATCACCTGCAAACAGGTTGAGCCAGATTGCCTTTCTCTTTCATGATAAATCCGCAGCCCAAGCAAAGCGAGCCCACTTGCCTCCTTCCAATGCCGCCGCGAAGACAGCCTTCTGTCAAAGTGATCAGTCATTAAACAACAGTGCTTCATACTATCACGAGAACACCGCTACTATTACTACAACTGCAATAATGCCTTACCAGCAGCAGCAACAACTTGCTGGTTGCTTTCTGACCTTATGTTAAAAATATTGCCAAACAAAAAGGATGAGAAACTGCAATCAAAAGCATCAAACCCAGGTCTTCACCGGATTCTGTCTCTGGCGGACTTTGTTTCTTCGACAAAGCAACCTTGTGGATACAGGGAATTTGTTTCCCAAACACATGAAAGCAACAAAAGCAACAACACTCAGTTAATCTTGAACCACCCCTCAGCGATGAATTTCAAGCTGATGGCTGGCACTTGTACACTCTTCCATTTTCGATGTTACCTTCGCAAAAATCTTGTCTGGGTAACTTACCAGTACCACGCAAATGCAGAAGCAAAGACTCCAAGCTCCAAGCCTGAATCTTCCACCCAGAAGGAAAGGCTGGAAGAGGAGGTGGAACCTTCCATCAATCGGTCAAACTCTTTGAACAACAAATGCTTACACAAAAGAACCCAACCAAACTATTGACAAGGAAAAATGTTGCAATAATCTCCCACCTCAGGACGTCTTGCTGAGTTCAATGACGACATACTCAAGCATGCCTTCCTGTTGGAGCAACCAACTAAAGTTTTCCTTGCGCTTGTAGCTGCTGCGTCTGAGCGGCAGTATGAGCGGTGAAGAGTCCTTGGAATTTCCTGGAAAATAAATCCAAAGAACTGTTATATGCTCAAATTTGCATCGTTTTGAGCAGAATATCCCCATCTTGGTCCAACCTCCCTCACTCGAGCGTTCTCTTTCTTTCAGCACAGTGGTCCTCATACAAATTTGCAGAGCACTTAGCAGACTTAGCACGGAAGCGCGTGTGGACACGAGGACATGAGATGTTCAAGTTGGTCCTCAAATCGTGGACAGATGCAGACCGAAAAACTGATCCGGCCTGAATACACCAAAGCGATGCGGAATGTGTCAAGGATAGGACTGAGCATTGCACTGTAGATCTTTGAGGTGGATCAAACCTTTCTGTAGCTTCTGTTGCTGCAACTTCCTGTGCCACAACACGCAAAAAGCAAGTCAGGCCCAATTCCGCGACAGCAATTCAGAAAGATTCGGCGGGTACAACACCTTCGCGGCATTTTCTTCCTCATCTGTTTCGCTTTTGGCACCTGAAAGTCAACTAATTTTGCATTCCAGCAACACCTGCAGACTCCGCATTATCCGGAGGCGGCCTAGAGACTTCTTTCTCACAATGGAGCCTTGGAAGAACCGAAGCCTGACCAGAAACTTCACATGATCCTACTGCTAAACATGCATCCACTACGCATATCACACATGCCCAAGTGATAAAAGGCTACGACCCCAATGTGCTACAATGCAACGTGCCGTTTTCGTGTGTTCGACATGTACTCGATTGAATTTGAATGTCTTGATTTGCAAATCCAGGCCTATCCACATCCTTCGGAAGTCTCTTCGGTTGGAAGGCGAACACTGTTCGCTCCCGAGTGTTTTGCAACATGGCCAGTCATGAAGCTCCAACATGTCCGTTCCATTGCAACATCAAAACCCCAAGAAAAAGAAATCCAAGTGAGAAAATGTTGCATCTTGTGGGATTGGAGTTTTGGTTCGTTGGTTTTCGGTTTTCATGCAAAAGAACACGGGCATGCTGGTTACGGTGTTCTCCATACGCTATCGCGAGCAAAAAGCTGCAAGTGACGGTAGAATAGTTCGAAGTGCCTGTGC